TTTTTTCTGAACTCTGGCTATTTTTTCTCCAATATGATTTTAACATGGTTTTAGTTTTAGTTTCAGTTTCAGTTGGTTCCCGCCTGAATGTTTTGGCTTTTGTATCAGTTGGGCTAGGTTCAGTTTCAGTTTAGTTTCAGTTGGGCTAGGTTCCTTGTTTCAGCTTCTGTTTTTTCAGTGTTTGTTTCAGAGTTGGAGTTCGGCGCTCATAGGGGCTCATACTCGGGTAGCAGGGAGTGTGATCTCCAGCCTTGTTTTGTAATTTCGTTTGTTTCTTTTTTCTCTCGTCTAATAAAAACCCAGCAAATCTCTTGCCGCCTTAAAAAAATTAACATGGTTTTTGCTGTGATTTAATATATTCTGAACTGTGTCTTATCTCGTCCTTGAACAGACTATTTCAGTGATGTGTGCAACTTTTGGTTTTGATGCAGATCAATCCTTGCGCCATATGCCTCGGCGCCATGGGCGCCGACGGCGGGCAGGCCATCTTCACGGCAGAGTGCTCCCACACGTTCCACTTCCACTGCATCTCCGCGAGCGTCGCGCACGGCCACCTCGTCTGCCCGCTCTGCAACGCGCAGTGGCGCGAGCTGCCGTCCGTGCGGCCGTCACAGCCGTCGACGATGCCACCCACGCTACCGCGGCAGCCACTTCCCGGAATGGAGCCCATGCACGGAGTGCAGCCGGCACCTGTCCCCGCCGTGCAGCCACCGCTGCAGCCCGCGGAACCAGAGGTGTTCGACGACGACGACGAGGTGGAGCTGCCCTCTGGCGAAGACGACCAGCGACAAGCTGCGGCATCCAGTGGGACGTTGGCCATCAAGACACACGTCGAGTTCTCGGCTGTTGCCAGGGACTCGTCGCAAGACAACTTCGCCGTTCTCGTGCACGTGAAGGCTCCGGGGGTGGTCGATGGCGAGGCGGCAGCAGCCGGAGACCGAGACGCGCCGCGCGCTCCTCTCGACCTCGTGACGGTGCTGGACGTGAGCGGAAGCATGCACCGGAACAAGCTTGCCCTGGTGAAGCAGGCCATGGGGTTCGTCATCGGCAGCCTCGGCCCGCACGACCGCCTCAGCGTGGTGTCCTTCTCGTCCGGGGCGCGCCGCGTGACCAGGCTCCTGCGCATGTCGGACACCGGGAAGAGTCTCGCCACAGAGGCAGTGGAGGCCCTCAGAGCGGGCGGCACCACCAACATCGCCGAGGGGCTCCGAACGGCCGCCAAGGTGCTCGCCGAGCGCCGGCATCGGAACGCCGTCTCTAGCGTCATTCTCCTCTCCGACGGCCGGGACAACCAAAGCATGCCGCGGCTGACGCGGGGCAGTGTGCCCAACTACGAGGTGCTGGTGCCACCGTCCTTCGTGCCTGGCACTGGCAGCACCGGCGAATTGTCTGCACCCATCCACACCTTTGGTTTCGGCAACGACCATGACGCGGCGGCGATGCACGTCGTGGCCGAGGCCACCGGCGGGACGTTCTCTTTCATCGAGAACGAGGCGGTCATCCAGGACGCGTTCGCACAGTGCATCGGCGGCCTGCTCACCGTCGTGGTGCAGGAGGCGCGCGTCGCCATCGCCTGCGGGCATCCCGGAGTCCGCATCAGCTCGGTCAAGTCCGGGCGTTACGAGAGCCGCGTCGACGAGGACGGCCGCTCAGCGTCGATCGTCGTCGGCGAGCTCTACGCGGACGAGGAGCGGTGTTTCTTGCTGTTCTTGGCTGTTCCAACCGCGGAAGCAGCGGGCGGCGGCGAGAGCGAGAATCTTCTCCTCAAAGCTCGTTGCAGCTACCGAGAAGCCGCTGGCGGCACGCACGTCGACGTGACGGCGGAGGACACGATGGTGGCCAGGCCGGAGCACGCGGCGGACGCGGAACGGTCAGCCGAGGTGGAGCGGGAGCGCGCCCGGGTGGAGGCGATCGAGGACATGGCGGCGGCTACGGCGGCCGCGGAGCGGGGCGCGCACCAGGAGGCTGCGGAGATACTCGGGAACCGGGGGCAAGCCATGGCACGGGCGGCGGAGCGAGGTGGCGGCTACCCCAACGGGGCGCTGCGGGCCGAGGTGTCGCGCATGAGAAAGCGCGTGGCGAACAAGGCGAGCTACGAGCGGTCGGGGCGCGCGTATGTGCTCGCTGGCCTGAGCTCGCACGCGCAGCAGCGCGCGACCACGAGGCTGCTGCGCCCCCTGCAGGTTGTGGTGCAGCCCTCGGCGGGCAGCGTTGGCGGTGGGGAGGCGACCAACTCGGTGGCTGATGCCGGCGATGCGGAGGCGGTGGACATGGACAAGGACAAGAACTTGATGGGATATTTCGGTGTCGGTGCACCGGCCGGCGAGGCAGGGACGTCTGACGCTGCATCGGCCGATGTGGAGTCGCACGAGGCGGATGCGGCGGCGGCGTACCTGACCCCGGCCATGCGCGCCATGCTGTTGCGGTCGCGGCAGGCGCGGGAGGCGTCGGCTGAGCAGCAGCAGCAACCGAAAGCTGCAGAAGAAGCGGGGAGCTCTGGATCGAAGGAAGTGGCGGAGGCGGAGCAGTAGATGTGTGCATGCCATCGTGATCGTGTACGGTGTTGGAACTTGTTTCTCCTCTGAATAATCTGGGGAATCTGTATGTTTGGAATTTCTTTCTGAACCAAGGAGAAGTGTACTGAGGTTCGCTGATTCGACTTCTCCGCCGCCGTCTGCGCCTGCTGCCGCGCCGCTGCCAAATCCGGCGATATGCTGCCAAATCCTCGCCGCTGCCCAATTGAAGATTCACCGGAAACACACACAGCAGATTCCGCAAATCTGACAAACAAACGTTACCACCGAAGTCCCCCTGTTTGGACTTCTGCGTGACACGGTTTTATACGTGGGCTTCTTCCTGCCGGCCCATCTTCGGCCCGACGTCTACAATTTTGTTTGGCCCACGTCATTGAAGATTTGTTCTTGAGGTACTGCGAAGGCCGACCGGTACTCCTCTCAAGAAAAGAGTGGGCCAAGATTCTCCAGTCTTCTCTTCTTAGTTAGCTCTAAAACCTAAACCCGTCATCATCGTTTAAACTCCAAATTCCATTGTCACGAGCGTTCACTCGTTTATAGTCCAGCGATCCGACCGAACGAACACTTTCCACCACGTGTCCACGCGCGGGGGTTGCTCCTTCTGTAAAGCTTCCGTTGTTCTATTGTCTCTCCCTTTACGCGGAGTGGAAGCTGTCGAGCTGAACGACTCGGACACGGGCAAGTGCTTGCACGCTAACCACAGGTGCGTCCATCTTTCTCCTTTTTTATTTTCTACTTTTTCATTTATATTTTTGTTTTTTATACACTAACCTATCTATTTTACATTCTAACAGTGCATCATGTTTTTTCCCCTTCTTTTTCACTATTTTTCTCTCTTCTTTCACTTTTTCTCTTCTTCCGATCTAATTGAATATTATGATCACAAATCTACAAAAGTTATAATGAGGTTGTGATGATAATTTGTCACTAAAAAGTTATGCACATAAGATGTGAATATAACTTTGTAATTTTTCTAAAAGTAAAAAGGTATGCATTTTTTCCCAAAAAAGAAAAGTAAAAAAATGACGATGACAAGTTATGATGATAAGTTGTTCCATAAAACGTTAAGCACATAATTTATGTGTAAAAATTTATGAGAATTTTTTTTCAAAAAAAGATTAAAAGTTATGATAAAAAATCACGGTGACAAGTTGTTATGTAAAAGGGAAAAATACAGGAATGGTTTTTTTCTAGAAAAGGAAATTGTGCTGATAAGTTATGTTTCGCACAATATTATATATAAAAGTTATGTCCTCAACTTTGCAACTTTCTAAGAAAAATATGGTGATAGATTCTGCACAAAAAGTTATACGTAAAAATTGTAGGTATACCTTTCTAACTTTCAAAAAAATAAAAGTTGCAGAAATATTTTTTCCAAAAATGGAAAGTTGATAGGCTGGTGTTATCGCTGATTACAAGGGTCGGAGAATCGGCGCCCGCGACGCTGTCCAAATAGGTAAAGGGGTGGGAATTCGTTTTTCCAAAAAAAAGGAAAATGGAGGGACGTGTCAGATTGTCCACTGCATTCAAATTGGGTGTAAATGTTCGCGAATTAGCGGGACCGGTTTAAACTCAAGGTTAATGCAGCGTGTCGACAGGTGCCAATGTGCCACTCTCATATCCCTGAATGTGTACGACGCACGCCGCAACCGTACGTGATCGCAACCTTATACCTCGTGACGACAGATATCAACGAGGCCAGCAGGGATGGCAATGGGTACCCGAAACCCGATGGTTTAAGTAAAAACCCTATTAAGGTACATGTACGTGGGTCTTTCATCCCCCATGGGTATGTTAATGGGGAAATTTCTCCCCCCATCGGGTAGAGCAGGTGCGGGTACGGGTATGTTTCCCTCTACCCATGCCCGCTACCTAATGAGGGACCGGTTAGTCGATGACAAGTGGGTCCAAAATATAAGAGTACATTATGTGCCATATATACCATGAGAACCCTAGAGCCCCACATCTATTCCCCACCCTAGTCCCTAGTTGCCCAGACAAGACTCATCTTGGTACTCTTCTTACCGTCGCGAGGCTGGACGGGGCTGCTGGGAGCGTGTTCCTGCAATGGTTGACGATGTTGACGAGAGTGGGCGCGACATGGGTGGTGGGGACAGGTGGCGGAAGGTTTTAACTTTGGAGGCTTTTACCTGTGTACCCTTAAAAAGATGCCACACTCCTGCGTACCCCTCAAAAGTTGGTCGTCACCTACATGCCCTCGCTCGAACTTTTCTTTTCCCTCACGCCGTTCCGTCGGTATTTGCTCCTAACGGTGGGTAACGGCTCTGGAGAATGACTCAGTTGCTCTTGGGCTTGTATGGGCGTCTGAACTTTTCCGTTTCCCCTGTGACATTGCCAGGCCAATTGGCTTTGCTTTTGATCAAGTGCCACTCACATCAGCGTGTCCACCTTCACCTATCATCGTCGTCTCATCTCCGGTCTCAGCCGGCAGGCACCCAAACTGAGATGGCGTCCGTCCGGCGGTTCGCCGTGGCCCTGCTCGCCGCCTCCTTCCTCGCCGCAGCAGCGGGAGCCCAGCCGATGGACCCTAAGAATCCCATCTCGTCGGACCCCAACGTGATCCCCGTATACCCCCCCACCTACGTGACCTGCTACAACGACACCCATGGGCAGCAAGGGTTGGAGCCCAGGTGCAACGTCCTCGCGCTCCAGTGCCCTCGCGGCTGCCGGGACACCTGCTACGTCCACTGCCCGTCCTGCAAGCTCGTCTGCCGTAAGCGTCCACACATACATACTCTACGCATTCGCTCTATCCTACTCAAAGATTTTGATCAGTTTGTGATTTTGAGCAGTGTGTGAGCTGACCGGCACGGAGTGCTACGACCCGCGCTTCGTGGGCGGCGACGGCAACAAGTTCCTGTTCCACGGCCGTCGGGACGCCGACTTCTGCCTGCTGTCGGACGCCAACCTGCACATCAACGCGCACTTCATCGGCAAGCGCAACAACGCGGGCGTGGCGCGTGACTTCACCTGGGTGCAGGCGCTGGGCATCCGCTTCGGCGGGCACCGGCTGTACCTCGGCGTCCGGAGGACGGCCACCTGGGACGACGCCGTGGACCGCCTAGCCATCACCTTCGACGGCGCGCCCGTCCCGCTAGACGCCGTGGCCGGCGCCAGCTGGAGCCCCACGTCGGCGGCGCCCGCGCTGTCCATCTTCCGCACGGGCCCCGCCAACGGCGTGGTGGTGCGGCTGGACGGGGTGTTCCGGATCGTGGCCAACGCCGTGCCGGTCACCGAGGAGGACTCGAGGGTCCACGGGTACGGCCAGCTCCCCGAGGAGGACGGCAGCCTCGCGCACCTCAACGTGGCGTTCAAGTTCTATGCGCTCAGCGCCGACGTGCACGGCGTGCTGGGCTAGACCTACCGCCCGGACTACGTCAGCGCCGCCGGGGTGGACGCCGGCGCTAGGGTCCCCGTCATGGGCGGCGCCCGCATGTACCTGGTGTCCGGCGGCATCTTCGCCACGGACTGCGAGGTCGGGCGGTTCGCTGGCGACGACGACGGGCCCGCCGTGGGCATCATCGAGGAGCCCACCGACGCGCCCTGCGGCAGCGGCGATGTCACCACTGGCCTGGTGTGCAAGAAGTGACGAGGCCGCTGGTGTAGTGTTTTTTGCTTCATTCCATGTGTCTAATTGCGTGCGTACGTGCTGACATATATATAGTAGCTGCAGCTGCGAAGTAGTAGTAGTTCTATGTATGGCGACCGAATAAAAGACTCTGACGTGTCTCGTGGTAGTCGTGTGGACAACACTCGGAAATAATGCCGTGTTGCTCTGATGTCTCGTGGTGGTGCGCCAAGGCGGCGTGTGCCACCATAGGTGCTACTACCTTGTGACATGGCTGTCAAAGACAGAGGGCTCAAGAGAGTGGCAACTCCCTGGCCTTTGGCGCCAATATATAGGAGGAGAAGGGCAGGCTCTTTGGCGCCAAATCCCTGTCCTTTGGCGCCAACAGCGGCGTCTCTGGCGCCAAAGCCAATTGGCCTGGCAATGGCATAGGGGAAACGAAAAAGTTCAGACGCCCATACAAGCCCAAGGGCAACTGAGTCATCCTCCAGAGCCGTTACCCACCGTTAGGAGGAAATGCCGACGGAATGGCGTGAGGGAAAAGAAAAGTTCGAGCGAGGGCATGTAGGTGACGACCAACTTTTGAGGGGTACGCAGGAGTATGACATCTTTTTTAAGGATATACAGGTAAAAGCCTCTTAACTTTGGGGGCAAATATGGAGGCATGCGTCCCCCACCGGGTTTTGCTCCCGCTGCCATCCCTGGGTTAGCCGGCTCCGGTCCACCAAGGTCAGCACCTGATTGGTTGTAGTTGGTACTGAGTATAGCCAGCCGCTCATGGCAATGGGAGTCGCATTCGAACATTCTCCAAAGTCCAGACCCAGCCCGGTCAATCATGTGGAGTATATATAGTCCAGATATTTGTTATTTATATAGGAGCTGTAGCAGTTTGCTAGTCAATTTGGCTTAGCAGGAATGATTTTTGTGTTTAACAATTGCCAAATGAAAACTTTCGTAGGTACATTTTAGGGGGAGGTATTGGATTCGATCTTGGGCTCTGCTGCAGCTGATGACCATAAAGATTGGTTAATTTAGGCATGCCAGCTTCTAGAGACCAGAGCAATGCAGTTCTTTGCTTCCTATGTATGGCCTTTTAGATTTTGTATTGGTCAATAATGATAAACTCTGTATTTTATTTGCTTCTTGAATTGTATTTTGGTGACTTGTTTGAAGAGGTTTGAAATCGGAACTTCTCCATTATCAGGAAAAAAAGTTGGACATCGATACATCCGGCCTCCGCCGCGTGTCCATGCACGAACACCCCTCCCAAAGCTGACATGGATGATGACTCCCGCGCCACCACCCACCAGACGGAGGCGGAGACGACGGAACGAGCGAGTGTGAACGCCGCCTCCTACCAATCCATCCAATCCAAAGTGCCCGCAACACCGATGACCGTTTCCAAAAAAAAAAAACACACCGATGACCGATCCACGGATCCAGTGCAGGCGTCCAACCAACCCCAGCGCCGAAAAACATGTGGCCGAGCGGGACGTGGTTTTGGTCACCGAGCCCAAGCAGAGCTGCTAAGAGGAAGTACGGTAATTGGCTTATAGTTAGTCAACATTTTTTTTTTTTGACGTAGAGGCAAGAAGAGAGGAGAAAGAATAGAGCTGAGCTCTTATTCTAGTACCAAAATAGGCACGGAAGCATAGACATCTATGGACCCAAATAATAGTGTATGTAAGGAGGAGTAGGAAGGAGAAAGTAAGATATGATACCATATAATAATAAACAATCTTTTTATAGGCAGATAGAAGATAACTATTGTACGACTTTGACTTATAACAAGTACTTGCTCTACGTACTAGCTGTGGCCTGCGGCTCCGAGCCCCCGGGTCGTCCTCGTCAGCTCGTCCCCGTCCTGCCCCTAGCTACTTTTCCACGCAGAGACAGGTTCAGTGATGCGCCAGCGCCGGCGCTGCATGCATTATTATGTTGGGTGATCAGATCAATCGATCGAATTTTCTCTCTTTCTTGGGCTTCTAGAGCTCGCCGGGCGCCAGGTTTGAACGAGCCAACGAGGTGTAGCAGGCCGCAGCACATGGGCATTGATTAATTCGTGATCGCAACAAGGAAACGACCAACCACATCCAGCTAGCACTAGCGGCATGCGGTGGCGCGAGTCGTCGTCTTCTGCATTCCATTTGTTACGATCGACGGCGGCGCCCATGCGTGGTGTGGACTGTGGAGACCGATCGATCGGGGAACGAACAAAGCAAGTGCGCCACCGCCTCCTCCTTGGGCAATAATACTCCAGTCCAGAGAGATTGTGGGTGCTAGCTAAAGCTAGCAAGACGTGTAGATAGAGAAACTTCACGTCCAATTTCGTCTCTTCCGCTCTTGGGGTGTACGTAGTACTGTACTCCTGTTCTTGAGCGTTCGGTGACACGACCTACTCACACGCAACAAGGTCTTCGTTGCAAGCTTTCAGAGTACCCACTATGGATGGCTTGGCCAACTGTCGACGCTGACCAAGTGATGACGGTGCACCCAAATTGATAGAAGCGTTTGCCTCAACTTTATTTATTTGATGATAGGATGCCCCCGGTTAGATTCGGAGAGTGGACTTGGTTTTGCAGCTCGTGATCCTTTAATTATTTTGGATAGGTACACGCAACCCAACTCTAGTTAAGTTTCGTCTTATACACCAGCCACTTTTAGCATGCATGAATGTATGCCATTTGGCATATAGCTAGATGTTTAGTACTCGAGTGAAACCAGCAGGGATGTCATGCTGGCTGCTGCATTGGCCGCATCATATCTTGTGGTTACACGTCCAGATCATGCATGGGAAACAAACAGCGGTCGTACGCAGTAGTAGTATGCATCGGTCGAATCATGGCGAACGCAAGGATGATGTCTCTGTAGCCTGTATCGATCGGCCGGTCTTGTCGTTACAGGCCGGTCTTTCTCGGCCTTTGACATTTGTAGCGTGGATTTCAATATTTGTATACTCCACCTGCTAGTTGCAACGAGTAGTATATCTCTGTGTATGCATGACGACTCTCTCGTTGGTTCGTGTATATGCATAAATGGATCGAAGTCGTCGACAACTCTCAGCAGCTCGTCCGTACGCGGATAGTCGACATGACGTTATTCATAAGCACGGGGGGTTGCCCTCGGATGGCAGGCAAAAAGCCAACCTTCTGCTATATCTAAGACAGTCGACATTACGGAGTACAGGTTAGTTGTTACTTATCCAGCCGTCTATCTATCTCAACTGTATACGCATGCATTTTTTTTAATACGGTTGTCGTCAGCAGGAAGCACAGACACGGGGGTTGTTCTTCTTTTACATGCACAGCTGGACAAGCAGGGCACACGGTACTTGTAGTATTGTATCCGACGCGTTTTGTGTTCGATGATGCTATCGACTCTTGGTTGGTACTGCTGAGGGCCGGTGAACTTCGCTCCGAGCGAGAGGTGCAGAATCGTCTCTGCGTGCCTTTTTAACGAACCTGGTACGGCTAGCTAGCTGCGCAGTGCTGGGAATATACCTAAACGTTTCTCTTGTTTTGTTTGGTGGCTCGATACCATTAGCTAGCATAGCACCAAAACCTTGACCGGAACATGACAGCGCCAAATCACCAAATTAATACGGATCACGTTTCTTCTGATCGTAACAGGATTAATTAGCATTGATTTTTTAATTGAATCGGTGAGTTCATTCCGTCAGCTGATGTGTACCAGGCCATCAACTCGGTCAATTGTTAATCGAGCAACTATTAGCCATAAGCACTTCTCAGGTCACCTTGGAACGAAGAAACTTTTCCATAAAAATAACGATAATGAAGGGACACGGGCGTCCCTCCATGTGTGTTCCGTCCAAACGGCTCGTTCCCGGACCTGTCCAACGATCGGGTCCAACAGGCCTCCTCCGCTCCACCTTCGGTACGATGCGGTTTCTCTAAATCCAAAAAATAAAAAACACAGCGACATTTTCTTTCCCCATTGCCGCACGCATGCGACCGCCGCGGCCGCGCCGCCCGGCTTCTCCAACGCGGCGGCCTTCCCGTCCGGACGACGCGGGCCCACTCCGTCTCGCTGCTGCCGCGCGCCCATCCCGCGCCGCTCGCTCCCACCCATCGCGCTCACCCATCCCGCGCCACCGCTCCTTCCCGTCGCACGCGCCATCCGCTTGGCCGAGCCACGGCTGGTGCTGCTAGCGATGGTGGTGGTGGTGGTGGTGCTCGCGCGGCGCCAGCTTTGACTCCGACGGCTAGAATCGTCTGGACCTCCCCATGTTGCAAACACATGTTTTAAGTGTTTCAGATGTTTCGTAGGTATGTTTCAAGTGTTTCATGCGGATGTTGCAAAAATAGATCAAGATGTTGCAATGATTGTACACGTATGTTGTAAGTGTATGCCCCCAATGTTTCATCTGTTTTTTTCAAACGTATGTTGCAAATGTGTTTATCTGGATGTTGCATATGTTGCAAGTGTTTTTATCTGGATGTTGTACTCCCTCCATACCCAAAAAAACCTGACGTTTAGGACAGGATTGTGGTAACCAAGGAGTGATTAATTAGGGGTTAGTTTTCCTTCTTTGTCCCTAATAAATATGGTTGCGCTTGCTCTCTGTACGAGAAAGTTAACCAGCTCAACTGGCTAGTGCGCGGAGCCTGCATTGCTGCGCCCCAGGTTCGAATCCCGGCTGCCCCACCTTTTTTGTTGCCCATTTCATTTTGCATGGCGATGGTCCGCTGCATGGCACTGTTCGCCCTGCGTGGCGCGCGCGGACAGCAGTTTTGCTCGGCACCTGCATTTTCGCTTGGCGCGGACAGCAG